ATCCGACTATAAGAACGGATCGAGGAATGGGGATTTCCCCCCATCCCCGTAACATACGGAGCCCTGAAGGCTTCCGGACAGCTCCGACATCTGCTAGTGCACTCCTGCCTCCACTGGGCAATTCACTTGCTTTCCCTGAAAGTCCACCTTCAGGTCTATCCCTCCTTTCTGTTTCTGGGTTATCGCCTGCCATTCCGCTAACCCCGTAACCTGACTTGTTGGTAATATTCAATTGGCTAATGTTTAACTCCGTTAGCTCTGCTCTGCTTGGCCCTGCCATTCATGGGCCTGCCCTCGCTGTAACTATATATACTTAACTTGTACATAGGTTACACCTCAGTGATAAAATCGACTAGAGTTGATCCCCCTTTAGTTCTCGTTGCCAGTAAGTAAAGGCACAGACGTTGTAACAGGGAATTTATCCCAACGTCACACAGGCTCACAGGGGGGACAGTAATCTCCTGCCTGCCTCTCTCAATCTCACCAAAGGTCCTTGTGGTACGGTGCTGTATAGTTGTGGCTGTGTAGTCACAGGATTACTACAACTACACTTGCCACTGTATGTATGTACATGAAAGAAGGAAAGAGCACTGTTTTGTAGTGCAAGGGTTTATCCCTGCAACAACATGTAACTTGGCACAGCGCTCCTGGCTTGAGTCGCTGAGGCTGAAGCCCTCTGCCACGGAGACAAATCCTTTGTCTCGATCCGGTCTCTGACAGATGTTGTGAGTATCGCCTCACACTCCCAGTCCATCAGAGATATGCTATAATAGGCTGTATAATCAACTGGGGAGTAAAGGCTGTAAAGCCTTAACTCGCCCGCATGCAAGGTTTATATACATGGGGGAAGAGCACATGCAGCCTATGCGGCTTGCAGGGTCTCTGAGTATGTACAATACATCAGCAAACCTGGATGCGGAGGCCTGAGAGCTCATAGAGCTCATAGAGCTCTCAGAGCTTCAGTACTTTGAAATTGCAGGTCCCCTTCTCTGAGAGCTCCAAAAAGTAGTCAAAGCTCTGAGAGCTCATAGAGCTATATTTGCACACAGGGGACTATTATCTATATGAGCTCCCTGAGTGTTTAATTTACCCGATATCAAAATTAAAATTTAAAAGCATTGACTATGGCATCATGTGACTAGCCATAGCCAACTCCCTACCATACAAGGGACTGAACAAACTCAGCTTCACTTTCAGCACCAATGCGGCACCAGACACCAAGGGTATGTAGCCCAATCAATATATAGACCAAATTTAGGGATATAAATGCAGTAAATCTGAAATTACTTAGGGAAAATGCGGGAAAATGAGTGGGGGGAATTGGGGGGGAATTGGGGGGAATTGGGAGGGGGAATGAGGGAAAAATTAAAGGGGGAAATGGGGGGAAAATGAGGGGGGAAATGGGGAAATTTGGAGGGGGGGATGAGGGGGGAAATGAGGGGAAAATGAGGGGAAAATGGAGGGGGGGAATGGGGTGACATTTGGAGGGGGAAATGAGGAGGGAATTGGGGGGAATGAGGGAGGAAATGAGGGAGGAAATTGAGGGGGGAAGTGGGGGGAAAATGGAGGGGGGAATGGGGTGAAATTTGGAGGGGGGAATGAGGGGGGAATGAGGGGGAAAATGGGGGAGGAAATGGAGGGGGGAAATGGGGGGGAATGAGGGGAAATTTGGAGGGGAGGATGGGGGGAATGGGGGGAAAATTGAGGAGGGAATTGAGGGGAAAATTGAGGGGGGAATGAGGGGAAATTTGAAGGGAAATTGGGAGGGAATGGGGGGGGGGGAATGAGGGGAAATTTGGAGGGGGGAATGGGGGAGAAATGGGGGGAAATTGAGGTGGGAATTGGGGGGGGGAATGAGGGGAAAATTGAAGGGGGGGATGGGGGGGAAATTGAGGGGGGGATGAAGGGGAAAATGGGAGGAAAATGAGGGGGAACTGGGGGGTTTCTAAAAACTTGAAAAAAAGTCAGGGAAAATTAAGGAAAATTCAGAAAATGGGGGACTTTCTAAAAAAGGAGAATGTCCAAAAAATCAGGGGGAAAATCAGAAATTTTGGGATAAGTTAGGGAGAGATATTTCAGGAAATTAGGAATAATTGGAAAAAAAATTAATTCACTTTTTTGATAATTCAATGTGCATTGGAAAGTGCCAAAGTGGGGCAATGTAGCAATGTATGTTTCAGTGTTAGAAAAGTCTCCCACCATGTTTTGGTGAGTGTCAGGGCACAGCCCCTCACTATTCCACAATCCCGCATGCATGCAGACCCATGGGAAAGTTCTGGGTAAGTTACTCACCCAGAAACCATCACAGCCACAACTGTGGGAACTTTCTGGGTGAGCAGCTTGTTCCCACAGGGGGTGCCATTTATGGGGAGTCAACAAAGAGCTGAAAACTGTATAGTTCCTGGCTCCCATTTGTAGAGGAGGTTGAGAAGGTTTAGCCCCCTCAGTGAGTTTGAGGATCTCGGACTGGGACTAGATACCCAGCGACTAGGAGGATCCCCCTGGGCCCGTCACAGAACAAGGGCTGGGCCCTGACAGTGAGCCAAATAACCATGGCTTTTTGACCATGGGAAATTTGGTGTCAAAGGCTTGGATGATATCTGAAGAATACATCAGCTTTTTGTTTGCTTTATTTTCAATTTACTTCATTTGGAACACTTTGTTAAAACTGATTTATACCCTACATAACATGCATGGTTACATTGCCACACTTTGGTGCTTTCCAATTCACATAGAATCATCAAAATTGGTTGAGTTTTGAGCAAGAAATGAGATGAAAGATAAAGTGCAAATTTTTGAATTTCAGAGTTTTCCTCAAATTTTGTAAATAGCAATAAAAAATAAGGTGCTGATTTTAGTAAACACAAAAGGTATATGAGCTCTATGAGCCCAGTGAGTTCATAGAGTTCATAGAGCTCATAGAGCTTTCAGAGCAATGACAATGGCCATTTTACACACATATATGTCCATATTATCTTTGCACTACTGGTGCCAAAATAACTAAGCAGATTTCATGGAGATATGAAGACCATCCATGATTTAAAAACGAAAAGCTCTATGAGCTCATAGAGCTCATAGAGTGTTTCAAGTAATGATGCTGGCTGTTAGAATGGGCAGAAACGGACGACTCCAGAGTGGAATCGGAGACTTAGCGTGGAGGGACCTTGGCCTCAGCGACTCAAGTGGAGCGCTGTGCCATTGCTGTTTGTCCATTTGGTCCTTAATTTCACAGTAGGTGAGCAGGAAGTCTCTTGGGGGCATTTCAGGTCGATTTCGGACTAAAACCAAAACGAGTATGTACAAGCGCCGATATATATAATGGAAGGGGCAAAAGCACAAGAGAACAAAGGGTGACCGAATCGGAACGAAGACGTCTGAACGGGAACAAAGGGTAGAGGGGGCGGAGCGGTACCGAAGGTCACAGGGCAAGACCTGTGATACATCCGAAAGGAGGTAGAGAGGGCGAGGCCCAGAGGGGCAGGAGGATGAGGGGAAGTGGGGGTGATGACTAACTGGCTAGAATAGAAGGAAGCAGTAGTCCAAATAGGGATGAGGGGGAATTGCGAGAAATACATTACAAAACGGCGAGAGTGCCAGAGGCGGTCCGCGAAGCTCGGGGGTTGCGGAGCTTATGGAGCTTACGGAGGCGGGGTTGGAAGTCCGAGGAATATTGGCAATGGTGTTTACGTAGTATGAGGTCACCAATGCAATGGACTAAGACCGAGGTGGAGTCAAAGTCCGAGGTAGGGACTATGACGGAGGCTCGGAGTAAGGTACGAACGGTGTCCGAGTGTGAAGTACGGAGCAGCGGTGGACGGTCGTAACTTGGCGGAAGGGTAACGGAAGGAGGAGAGAGGGGACAGGTAAGGAAGAGGGAGTGGCGGAAAGGAGAGTAGTCAGGTCCGAAGGTGAGTATCGGAACGGACGGGGGAAGCGTAGGGGGATGACGGGAGGGTGGAGGTGTTGTGAGGGGGAGCGGAGTTGTAGGAAGGGTGGCGAGTGGGGCGATGTTCGGTCCGAGATGAGTATCGGAACGGAAGCGGTAGGTTATGACTCCGGAGGTGAAGAGGGTGGAGGTCCGGAAGTCAGATTGGGGTCAGGTATGCACGGATATGACACTGGCCATGGAATATGCATTTCCAAAAATGTATATACATATTATCTTTGCACTTCTGCATCCTTAGGAGAATAAAATCATTCAAACATTTAATTTTCTCCACCCAATGTGTAGAGGGTGCACAGCAAAAAGACTCAATTTGCTCACAGAGCTCTGAGAGCTCCAAGAGCTCCCTACCAAGTTTGCTGATGTAGTTGTAGCGCTGTTGTGCGAAGTTACAAACTGATTATAATATACTATGTTACAAGTGATAACAAGAGTAAGGTAAAGTAAAAGAATTAGGAGGGGGCGCATATGCAGCCTCCCTTCCTTACACTCTCCTCCCTTGCGATATTAATATCGCAACAGGAAGGCATGTACCAAAATGTAGAGACAGTCCAAGAGATTTCAAGAAATTCAAGAGAAATTCGAGGCAATTGGCATTACTGTAAGTTAAAGGTGAAAGGCGGTTAGGCCTTTCAATGTCAGTTGTCACCGATGAAGTTAGAAAAAAAAGGGGGGGTTCAAGGGAAAGTAAAGCAAAGTGGCCAGGCTTTACAGTGAAAGTGGTCAGGCTTTCGGGTCAAGCAGTTAGGCTCTTGGGTAAGAATTAACACAAAGCGATCAGGCTTTTGCGATGAAAGCGGTCAGGCTTTCATTGTGAAGTAAGGTGGTAGGGAAGAAGAAACTTCTAATAATGCCACATGTAGTTAAACCCTTTGTACCAATTATTTCGTTGGTGAAGGAGAATATAAGTGGAGGTGGTCAGGCCTCTTGACAGTGAAAAAAGAAAAGGAAATTTTAATGGGGCAATTAGGCCTTCATAATTTTGATCATTAATGATGACAAAGTCAACGTTAATGTTATAAGACAAAGGCGGTTAGGCCTTTTTTTGTTTGCCCTTTCAGGCCACGCTGCTAGGTCCGGGCATATTAGCCTGTGGATTTGTCGAAGGCCCGGCTCCGTCATCCTCAGCTGCTGCCATATGCTGGCGCTGAGCTGCAGGGAAGCGCCTTGTTGCCAAGGTTGCAGGTGGAATGGCTTCAGTCTGTTCCACGAAACTTGACTCTCCACTCATTGATGTATCCTCGGAGTTGAGGGGAGGAACAGTGCTCACCTCTGGAGGAGGTGGCGGAAACCCCTGGACAGGGCAGGATGTAGGCAGCGGCGGTGCAAATTTGCCCACTTGTAGCCTGGATAGGCCATAAGCGGTCATATTCACCGCTTTTCTCACCTTAGCCTCGTCGGATGGGTGGTGCTTCCAAAATGAGGTCAGGATGTATTTCATTCCTGCTTCTTTGATAACGCCAGGCATCAAAGCCAGGCGTTTGAACTGTTCATCCAGTTCAGATACGGACGGTTTATGTCCGGGCATGAACTTCATCTCATAGAATTGAGCATGTCAAGTGCGCACTTCTGGTGGGGCATTATCAATGCTGTTCACAGCGTGTTTGTCGATCCAGTTAAGGTTGATAAGAAATTTGAACCCATCGGGGGTGTTCAGGAATGGGAGCATGAAATGGGTCCATCGCCATTGGCCCATATCATTTTGGCCCTGCATAACCCATAGTTGACCACAGATAATGACTCTGTCCTGGAAATCGTTAATGGAGAATGACCCTGGAATAGGGACGTTTCGCCACATCCCAGTGGAAGGCTGGCGACTCTGGTCCAGCAATTGGAACCATGAGTACTCCAAGGGGATAAGGTCATGATTATTGTTGTGTTGGGTAGGCCCTTGAGGTCATGGGGGAATAGGAGCAGTGAGAGGGCCCTAATGGCCATCTATTAGTTTCGAAAAAGGCACCTGTGTCCCTTTAGGGGGCACCAGTTGAGACGCACGGTTGTATACCGATATGTTAGATGATGTCAGAGGGGCTCCTTGGGCCCTCTTTGGGGGTCCCAGTACTGTGGCATCCTGCGTGACTGGCGCCTTAAAGGGGACTTTTCGAGGCTGTCAGAGACCAGGTTGAGACAAAGGAGTGTCTCCGTGGCGGAGGGCTTCAGCCTCAGTGACTTATGCCAGGAGTGCTGTGCCAAGTAACACGTCTGTGCCCTAACCTACTAAACTGGCAACCAGAAACTGAAGGGGGTAAACTCTAGTCGATTTTATTACTGAGGTGTAACCTATGTACAGGTTGAGTATATATATAGTTACAACGAGGGCGGGCCCGCAAATGGCAGAGCTGAGCTAACGGGTTTAGACATTAGCTGATTGAATATTACCGACGAGTCGGGTTATGGGGTTAACGGAATGGTAGGCGATAACCCAGAAACGGAAAGGAGGGATAGGCCCAAAGGTAGGCTTGCAGGGCAAGCGAGTGTATTGCCCAGCGGAGGCAGGGGTGCACTAGTGGATGTTGGAGCTGTCCGGAAGCCTTTGGGGCTCCGTACTTAGGGAGGCATAGTGTCAGGGACGCGTCCGGGGTAGAGGGGGTCCGGATGTATCGCCCGGCAGAAGGGCCCTCACAGGGTGCAAACCGGGCGTGCGTGCTGGCGGGTCCGGGGAGGGACAGCAGTCCCTGGCCACTTAGACTGAAGTGGAGAATGTGTTATTGTTATTAAAAGGGAAAACTATACTACTTACCTGAAGTGGAGAATGTGAGAAGAAGGTTACTTCTTCGGTTCCCACTTCAGGTACATTTATGTACATGCGGCTTGAGTCACATGACGAGTGCCACGTCACCCTCGGAGGCAGCCGCAGGCATCCGGGTGTCCCGCGGGGGATCCCGAGAGCGTCCGCTGCATGCGCGCGTGCTGGGCACAGCGGGGAGCCGTCCGGGGTGTGTGGGCCGGACGGGTCAATAGTACATTGATACAAAGGAAGGTGGTCCGTGTAGATAGAAGGAAATAAACAAGAAAAGGAAGATGAGAGGAATGGGATAAAGAAAGGGGAAGAAAGAGAGAAAGGAAAGGGGAGGAGAGACAGAGGAAGGAGGAGGGAGAGGGTTGGACAGCGGGGAGCGGGTGTGGTGTGGTCGGGTGGGTCCGGGTGGACCCGGGTCAGGCGGGTGTGCCCTGACACATAGGTAATAAATTGAAAAGAGGGGGTGGTGACCATTGAGAGGTACCAAGGTGGTTGCGGAATACGGGAGCTCCGGGGTTAGTGAAGAAGGAGCGGAGGTAGACCAGAGGGATCGGAGGGAGTGGAAGTCGATGGCTGGGGATGGATATGACAGAGGCTGGGCATCCTTGAAAGACTTTACTTCCACAGAGAGGTCATCGCTCTTGCGGCGAAAGTAGTCTCTATGACGGGAGATGTCTTTCAATGCATGATCGAGTTTCACCACCTTGATCTTTATGTTAAAAAGTTCCTCATGAAGTGAGGTGTTTTCTTCATGTAGTCGATGGGTCGCTTCCCGGGACTGGGATAGCTCGCCATCGATCAGGCGAATGCATTCGTTAGCTTCCTTAAGGAGCTGACCGAGTATTCCATTGGTCAAATATGCAGCTGAAGCTTGCATCATTTCTGGAGGCAATTGGCCTTGGGGCGTATTGGGGTTATAAACCCACATATTCTGCCCGAAATTAGGAAAAGATGGGCCCATTGCGGCCGTCGTCATATCTGGGACATAGTTTTGCCCCACTTGACCCATCATTTGGGTGTCTAATGGTGGGCAAGCCACTTGGGTTTGAGGGGGAATGTACTCACCATGGATAGGTGAGGGGTGGCCCGATACTGATGGTATCGGCTGTTGCTTTGTAGTCTGAGTGTCAGGAGTGCCATTAGGGTCTGACAAGTGATTGCCAGATATTGATGGCTGTTGCCTGGGGGAGCGCATTCGATTCAGGTAGGTCAGCATCCATTGCACCACTAGTAACCGAGGGGCTTTGCCTGCGGTTATTTGAGTCATCCTTATCTTTGTCAAAGACGCCGTCCATTGATTCAGACATAGATGAGCGGGAGAACAAAGTGAAATGGGGGGAAGCAGTTTCTTCCACCCCTCAGCAATATATACAGAAGAAGGAGGCGAAAATTTTCACCATGGGAACAACCCTGCCTCTGCAGAGGCAAAGTCCCGATTTGGCAGTTAGCACCAAAGGCAGCCTTTGTAAGGTTGCAGGACCAGTCCTATACGGGTGGCTCGTTTAGGACACTTGGAATGGGGAGTTTTGAGGGTCACTCGTGTAATGGGAGTAGGAAATCTGCTTTCCTTACTCAAGCTTTTGACCACTTCTACTCCATGTATTATTAGGTAGTTATCCAATGCAACCAGGTTGTCACAATTGGATAAAGGTTCCCAAGTAAGATTTCCAAGACCCCACTTGACACGGAACCACAGACCACTGTTTGTGTCCCATGCATGGTCCAATATTTCTTGGACCAAATATTCCCGCTCTGGATCCTTGCTGAAGTCATAGAAGACTTGGGCCGCACATCCCAGGAATAGCAAGGAATCATTTGGCTCATGGGGAGCCAGTCATGAGACATGAAACTTGGGGTGGATTCCCCAGTTAATTAACTCATTTGGGAGTTTTAAGGTGTAATTAGAAGATTCCTCAAAAGCTTCGAGGATCTCATATGGCCCAACATAATTAGGGAGGAGTTTCTTGGCTCATCCCTTGGGTAGGTTGAGGTCCTTGGTTGATAAATAGGCGAGGTCGCCGATTCTCAGTCTAGGCAGATCAGGTCGCCTATGCTGATTGGCCTGGACCAGTTGTTCAACGTGGCTTTTTATGATCGCATCATGAGCACCTTGGAGGTTATCCAATGCCTGTTGTGCGAAGGTGCCTACCCCAGGGAGGTCTGTGGGTGGAACCTCCACGACCATATGGGGCATAGTCCTGTATATCAACTTGAAGGGAGCATATCCCATCGATTTATTGACACTTGAGTTTATTGCAAACTCGGTAAGGGGTACTTTAAGTACCCAGTCATGCTGGTCAGGATGAACAGCTGCACAAATGACTTGGATGACATTCTGTACCATCTGCTCAGCTTGTCCATCGCCCTCTGGATGGAAAGCGGTTGTTAGTTTCAGATGGACCCCCAGTAGCCTATGTAGTTCCATCCAAAATTTAGATGTGAATTTAGTGTTGCGATCTGGCACTATTGACTTGGGGAGTCTGTGGAGGCGTACCATGCCTTTAAGAAATTCATATGCGAGTTCCAACGCATTTATGGTTGTCTTGACAGGTATCAAGTGTACCTGTGAAGTGAGATGACAGATAACCACCGATAGGTAGTTATATTCCAGGCTTTTAGGAAATGGACCTATGAAGTCCATTGCAATCGAGGACCACAGGGTCTCTGGAATTGGCAGCTGGTGCAACAGCCCAGGCGTACGCTGTGTGGTCCTCTTAGTGGTCTGACACTTTTCACATGAGGAGATATATTTCTTCATGTCGCATACCATAGTAGACCACCAGTAATATCTGCGAAGATATCCTAGTGTCTTCTGTAATCCTAGATGGCCCAGGATTTCATGTGTGTTCTGAATGGCGATCCCAGTCACCCTCTCCCCTTTATGAATGATGTCCGGGAGAACCAGTTGCAGTTCCCCTAAGTCATTCACTCTGGAAATAAGGCTGTCTGAGACCTTAAATTTAGGAAATTGGGAGGGGTTCTCCAGGATTCTTTGCCATGCATTCTGCCTGGTATATCTGCTCCTTACAGCGATGCAAGCAGGCTAGAAATCTAACCCCCTAAATGCGAGCAAATTTGTGGGGAGGAAGTCTGGGATATCCTAAGCTCGTCTAGGTTTGGTCCAGGTGCTAACAAAACAAAAACAATCACAAAACTCGCTAAGAATTACGTACCCCTGGTCCGTCTTGGACAATCGTCAGGGATTTCCTTATAATACTCAAAGAGTCAAGCTTAGAATTTCTCTTCTTTTTCTTGGATCTCTCAGCGCTACAGTCTCTTGTAGTCAAAAAGGGAGGTCACTTTTCCATTCCTACGTGTACAAGCTTTTAAACACATGGAACGGCAATAATGTGGAAAAACAAATGAAAGGAAAAATATAAAACGAAGGATTGTTGTTACAGACACCATGTGGACCGTTAAGTATGGCCGCTAAGTCCAACGGCCAATGTGGAAGTTCAATAAAAAGAAACAGGAGTGATAAGCAGGCCATATCTGCTAATAATTGCCATTCTCCACCAATTTCCACCATCACACTACACTCATCTGTCTCTTCCTTCCCATAGCATCCTTTCCCGACCTCTCCATTCGATTCCCCGGGTTCGTAGCTTTCTCTTGATACTAAATTTGTCCCAAATGGTTGAGATTTGACCGAGTGGTGGGTGTGAGAATCGTAAAATTGGCCCATGCACAGGGTTAGACATCCCAAAAAGTGTTTGCAAGAGTCCCCATGTCAATTGGATCTTCATATGCATCCTTTGTGATTTTTCTGAGTTTTTATGAGCACTCCGGAGTGCATTTTGGTTGTTTGTTTGCTCTGGTACAGCTTGTGATTTCCATATTGGGCCGAAAACCAGTTTTGTGATCTTCCGAAGTACAGATCTCGGCTCCGCCACATGGGACTTCAACACCGCCACCCTCATGTGCCTTTCGACATCATGTGGAACCTCACAGTAAGATGAGAAATCGTCACCACCATTGTTCCACAACGGCTGGGTCGATCTGGACGAAATTCGGGGAATCCATAGTTATGATTTTTCTCTATTTTCTGAGCCCTTGAT